TTATCATTGAACTTGGCTCTTGTTGTTCATCTTGTTCAGCATATTGATTCTTCATGTTTACACCGCCTTACTAGTTTGCTGCAGGATTAGTTTGGTCTCCTTAGCCAATTTGAGAATTATATATGTCTTGTGGTGAAAATGTGAATGACATTTTAGTAATCAAATTAATTTGGATTCGGATTCATGAAAATTAGTAAACAATAACAGTGAGAGCAACCCAATTCCATTGCTAATTCCATATGTTTAGTAAACAGCTTAATAGGAATGATTCTTTCCATACCGATTCAATACTTCCCCAATTCCTAAATTCTTTGATTCCTTACTTTCTCCATTACTGATACGTAAATATGCTCTAAGTGATTTTAAGTGATTTTATGGAGAAACACATGGGAGGTGCTTCTACCCATAATCACTTAAAGTGATTATATGAAGAAGCACATAAGAGGTAGTTCCCAAAATCACTCCCAAATGAACCCTTAATTAACTAGATCTGCTAATGATGACATGGGTTAACCAGTTGCATGCATGTGATTGAAATTGGGGCCACAAAAACAGATGGGCCTCCAGCTGTCTGCATTGGACCTATCCTTGGTCCTAAACAAGTAAAAGGTTGGATGGACCCGCATCTGCTTTGTCAAGATAAGGGATTTGTGATTTGGGTAACAATGCCATGTGCATTGCTGAGATTCCCCTACTTCTTCTCTTCAGGTAGCTTGCAAACGACCAAATTGACGAAGATTGAACGGATTAGGATTGCCAATGCTTGTAATATATCTGGTTTGTGACGCAGGAACGCGACTTGATTGAATTGGCATATGATACAGTGTACTAAGTTTTTCTTTTTTCTTTTCTAGCAAAAAGAACATATGTATTATTATGTTACTAGAAAAAAGAATCATCGTTCTGACCAAAAAAAGAATCAACCTATCATTTTCTACTCATTAGAAAAGAAGTGTACCCTCAAATATTAGCTTTCACGGATTTTGAGTTACAACAAATACAAAAGAAGAACTAGCAAAATCGTTGTCCTTATCATTAGCTTATAGGGAAACTAATTGTACCATTTTTTTATAATACCCATTCTCATGGCCTCATTACTAGTGAACCCATAAGGCACTCTTACCACAACATTTTGAATCATCAAGTCTTTCACATTTGAAATGCTTGCATGATAAACTTGTAGCCGAAGGGATTTGAGTGCATTCATCAATTTAGCATACGGGTATTCTTGATCTGGACACTGAACTCGTATCACGGCTTCTGAGCCTAAAATCTTCACATCCACTTCCAGAGCAGCAGCTGCTCTATTAGTATTGTTATTGTTTGAATGATGAAAATCAACTATGGGGCTGGTGCTTTGGCTATAGTGATGATGATCAGCATTGCTCACATTTCCTCTTTTGGGATTTTGGGGTTGTGATTGGATTTTGTCCTCCAATTCTTCAATCTTTGCTTTGAGCTGATTGATGCATGCCACAGCATCAGCAAGCAAAGAAGATCTGTCCATCTTCGACACATTCGGAACGACTGAGCGGAGTACATAAAATCTATGGTTAAGCTTCTCCCGCCTCTGTCTCTCCGCCTGGACATGTTTTAATAATTGTGGTGCATGGTTTGATGATGATCTTCCTATCTTTTTCAATCGGGTACTCTCTGTATTATCAGAAGTGAAATTGTCGGCAGAGTCTGATGAAGACCCACCTATATTGATAGGTGCAGCTTCTTTTGTATCCCCTTCTTGTCAAAATGTATAAAAGATAGTGTTACAATAACATATCAAATGTCAGTAGAAGTTGTTTGAAATTTTAGAACCGTATGTACTAAAATAAAATATGACATTGTCAGCAGTTTTGGTCAATGTTTGATAATAACTACCAATCAAATTCCAAGCTTACCTTGTTTGGTCAAATCCTTTTGACCTCCTGAAAACATCCCACTTTCCAGGGGAGGAACAAGTGCATTGCCGTCACGGCTGTCCTGCTTTGAAACCCTGTTGTTGTCTGATAGAAATAACGATTTTGAAAGATGCACAAGACCCAAATCTTCTTTGATCACATCCAGAGAAGCCAGCTCAAGAACCCCACAAGGAGTTGCAATACAAACCAGAGATTTAATTCCATGCATTCTAGCCTTTTTCACTCTCTCACACTCATAAAACTGAAGCTCATGGTCGCCTGCAAGCCAAACAAAACCACCAGAGCAAAACGAACGGCCCAGAATATTATTTGTCGCATGGCCTGCAACAAATGACTGGGTTAAAGAAATGCTGTAAAAGTAAAACCACTCACAATCAGTAACATCTCCAACTCCATGATCTACCAGCCTCATGTCCAAGTCCATTTCTTCATGGAAAAGAGACTCAGCTTCTCTGTTGTTAATCACCTTCTTCCTCTCAACAAAATGTTTATTATTGACCATTTTGTTGCTTCTTTTGGATGCCAAGTCCCTAGGGCTTTTGAAATGGCCGCCAGCCCATGAGAAGGCAACTTGGTCATTGCTGTGTTTGGAGGCTTGCCAGAAAATCGAATACACCCACCATTCAGGTCTGTTCTGAACTATGAACTGGAGACGTTGTTGGAATGAGACTGAGTTTTCTTGACAAAGTTGGGGTGGAGAAGATGAGGGTATAATTTCTTCCATGGCTAAACTTTTTTTCTATAGAAGGAAGGGAGTATAACGTTGGGACCAAAAGAAAGCAAGAGAGACCAAAAGAAAGCAAGAGAGCGGCAGAGGATGAGAAGTAGTACTGGAAGAAGAAACTGAGTGAGTGGGTGAGGTTGTAATACAAACGTGGTGTGGGACTAATGGCGTCCCATGGATAAGCACAGATTGGCTGGATTTTGGGGAAAATGATAACCTAGGTCTAAAAAGCGTATTGAATGATGATACCATAGATACCATAGATAACAAGCGTATTTAACGGTTGGTGCGATATGAAGGGAGTATAACGTTGGTAGGTACTCAATTTTGACTTTAAAATAGTTTTTAAAAGTTCAGTGGTGTTCAATTGTGACTTTAAATGTTGTTTAAAATGTTTTGTGATATTCAAAAAGTATATGACTTTTGAAAACTTCATTAAATAAATGGCTTTTCAATACATTTAAAGCTAATTCTTAACACTAAATGTCTCGCAAATTTACCCAAGACTTTATCAATGAATCGATCGTACCACAGCTTTGGCCGTTGCCAAGGTGCAGCTTTCATCCGCTGCCAGCCACTTGATTACATCCCCAACCCCAGCCTGCCCCTCACATACCCCACCCTCCCTCCAATTTCTAACCACAACTTGATAAGATATTGGAGGGTCAGTTTCCAGTATTCTTCTTTTTTTAATCAAGACCTGTCTCCAATTTCAAGAACTTGCCAGGTCTTAGAGTTGAGTCCTTGTTTAATCAATAGGAATGTAATACTTTAAACTTCAGTTGATAATTCTGTGGTATCAAAGTTTCTGCGTGGTGTTCTTCTGACAGGAGGAATCGACACTGGATCTATTACTGAGATATCTGGTGAGTTCCTTTCTGGAAAGACCCAGCTGTGTCACACGCTTTCTGTCACTTGCCAAGTAGGTGACTTTCTTTTCTCTTTAACATGTTGTGCTGGTACAGAAACCACCCAACTACAACCTATAATTTCGATTCACTGTAGTGCACTTCTAAATCATTTTGATGTTTCAGCTCCCATTATATCAAGGAGGTGGTGAGGGAAAAAGCAATGTACATTGATGCTGAGGGTACATTCAGGCCACACAGAGAATGGGAATGGGCAGAAAGAGAGAGATGTGAGATTACATTTTTCAAAAGTATAAAATACTATTCATAAAATAAATATTTAAAAAAGTAGATAAAAGTATGTAAAACTCTATGATAAAAGTATATGAAAGTATATCACTTAAGTTTATAAAGTATGTAAAAGTCATTAAGAATTTGTCAACTCCTTCGAAGTCACTCACTTACAAAAAATCTTTAAAAGTTAGAATTGGATAAACCCTCGAAATCTTATCTTATCGTATTTTTAGATTTTGTGCAAATCAGTGATAATAGTCCGATGGAACGTGGCAATCAATGGCTCACCTAAACTCCAATATATTGTGCCACATCGGTTGATAAAAAAAAAATCATAAAAAAAATAAAAATTAAAGAATCAATTAACAATTAAAATAATTGAAAAAACTGAAGAAAAAAATTAATTTTTTTGTTGTTGGAAAACTCTCTCTCCTCTCTCTGCAACTCACGACCCACCACTTCCACCCCCATTCCAACCGCCCACATTCTATAGCTGCCGGTTGGATGAAGCACAAATCAACATTACACAAAGAAGAAAAACTAAAAAATAACAGAGCAAAGGAAGGAAGGTGCTCACCGTGTAAGGCCCCTATTTTTCAGATATTGAAAATTAAAAGTTTTTATATGAATGATGTTACTCAGTTTCTAGTGGATTTCAGAATGGTAGCGGATTTTAGTTCTTCTTTTAAGATTTGACGTTCATCGATCCCTTTTATTGTGTTTCCGGGATGCATCATGATACTAATTAATTAATCATAACAGAGTCCTAATCTGGAGTCCCATATACAATCAGCTCACTCTAAAGCACATATTGTGGGCATGTATGTGTACTAGGTTTTCTTTTTTCTTTTTCGGCATAACATACGTACTATGTTAATGGCGGAGCTAGTAGCTTATCTTTTGGGGGGCCAGTATTGTAATTATAAGGTTTTATTGCCTTATATTTCAACTGATACAAGAAAAGATTGACAACAACAAAAAATTATGAGGGCCAAATCTAAGGAAGTTTTTCTTCCACGCTTTGAGGTGATGTTAAACTAATCTTTTAGCCTTTTTATTTGTAAGTTTATTCTTAATGAAACTTCTCTCATTGACAAGTAACTCCACTTTAGATTTATGCTGAATTTTTTGTATGTAAATTATGAATGACATGAAAATAAATAAAATCAGAGATCTCAAGTTAATTAATTAACCTTCATCATTTACAGCCATACTCAATCACAACTTCTTAACGCGAACCCACATTCCTCTACTTGGTATCCCATCGCACACCACAAACAATAAGTAATATCCTGGTGGTGCCAATTCAGGCCTTGCTGGTGCAAAACCCTCGAGATTTATGTAGCCTTTAGAACCAGATATATTGCCATTCTTCCCCACTTGGCTGAAGTCCAAAACTAGCACCCTCTGGTTCATGGCAAAAGAATGTGTAGTAAATGATGGAGCCACCATGGTCACGTAAATCTTGTCCGGCACATAATTTGTCTTAAATCCCAGGTAAAATTTCTGCAAGTAAGTAAGATCCACTCCCGGTTTGATCAAATCTATCGATGGCCTGGACCTTGATGATGTACTCAAATATGGTGGATAAAATGCTTCTAGACTGAGCTCCGTAGGGTACAAAGTAGTGAAATTGTAGTTCACATTTGGGTTGCTGCCACCAACCAAAACTCTCCCATCAGATAGCAAATGTGCTGTTGAGTGATACAAGCGAGGTATAGTTGTAGGGCTCATTAGCTCAAACCGGCTGGTTTTTTCATGGTTTGGTTTGTAAAGAACTGGGTTCAGAACCGGTTCTCTTGCCACTGCCCAACCAGCGGTTCCACTAGCCGCACCATTTATGATCAGCACATCCCCTGTTGGCAGCAAAATCATGTCACCCATGACTCTGTTGATGGGCATTTCCTCCATTTCCCAATTTGGGTTTTTTTCTGTGATTATTAATCTACCACAGCTTTTTGATGCAGGCATGTATACGCCAGCATTGGCCTTTACATTCGAATCAGGAAATGTCCCTCCACAGACCAAAACTTCAACACTTGGAGAGCTGTTATTTCCCACAAGGCTAATAGGAAGCAGGGCAGATGAGCCTGTGCTTGGATAGTTTCTCGAAACACCTCCTGGCATGACTGGAAACTTTGTAACAACTTTGTTTTGCACATAATCGAAAAGAACTGCGCGGTCGTTTGCAAAAATGAAGAGATTCCCATCAGTTGAGAGGTGTAAAAAAGGGTACAAATTGTTGGGTACCTTTGGCAAGTGCATTGTTTCTTCAAGGAATGGAAGTTGGTATAGCTTCTTGTCATTAGTTGAGGTTTTGGGGATGAACTCATAATTGAACTGAAATCTCCCACCAACAATAATGATTCTTCCATCTGGTAAGACTTGATTGGAAGCATACCATCTTGGTACAATAAGGCCATTTTGTTCTTCAATCCAATCACAGTCTAAGCAGGGCTTGAAGTACCTAACAACTTTGTATCCATCATCATACCCTCCACTTTGTATAAGCACACCATCTTGTGACAATGCACCTGAAGAACACCATGTGTCGGTTGATATAGTAAGCGGTCGAAAATCGCGGTTTGCGGGGTTGAATTCAACAGAATGAGCATAGCAATCAGTGGCTTCATGAGCTGATTGATGATGAACTCTTGCGCACTTCTCTTGTGGAAGAGTGAGGTTGGATGGACCAGCATCTGTTCTGTCAAAGATGATGACTTTGTCATTTGGTAACAATGCCATGTGCATTGCTGAGACTCCAATGCTTCTCTTCAGCAGCTTCCACTTGCCCTGGTAGATTAGTTGGCTGCATTGGGCCAAATTGATGAACAATGAGCATATTGCCAATGCTAGAAACACAGAGGTTTTTGCTTCCATGTTTAATTTCTGTGATGATGCATAGACTCAGACCCCATCTATTTATGTTGTTCAGAATTGATTGAATAAAGGAGCAGCGGTTCTGATCAGGCCTAAATCATTACCCAGTGAACAATTTTTTTGGTGGGAGAATCAGGCATTAATTAGTGATATAATTCATAAATACATTTCTGCTTACCACAACTGCATTAATTTGAAGAAAACACAAAGAGTTTCCAAACTCAGGTGGTGGCCAATGCTTTGTAGGACATTGGCATCTGGTGGATGGTGTTTCGTAGATCAGTGGTCTTTCTGAAAACAGGAGGCCTTAAGTAGCTGCAATATTAGCATGCATGGCCAGTGCAGACGAGGTCTAATTAGCCAGCCATTTTTGGTCTCTTTTTTTCTTTTTTTCTTTTTGGTTGACAGAACTGTAGCAGCAGCCAGTCATGCAATTAACTATGGCAGAAATGGATTCTGATTCAAGCTTGAATTGTAGCTTTTGCAAGTGGGGTACAAACAATTAAGGACATGTATAACGTTACTATGCCACAGTACTCATCAATTTTACCAACATGCATTAGCTGTAAATTGAATGGCCAAGTTCAGATTGCAGAATGGGGGACCAAAAGAAAATTCTGAATGTAAAAATATAAATGCATGAACCACTTGTGCTTTTGCCTTTTCTCAGCAGAGCATTTACGCCATTGGTGGTGGAAATGCGTGTTCTTTGAAGACTGAACCTGTTTAATTTGGCAGTGGGGTAAATCTTTAACATGACATGATTGTCATCGACTCTTTTGCTCAAGTCTAAATTTGAAGTTTATGTCAAATAACTTATGCATGCTTTCATAAGGAAACAAATAATAATTCGGAACTTTAGATGAGCAAGGGACTTACAGCAAACCAAGTCCCAGTTTATGCAGGAAAATCATGAACTATATCAAAGTGGAAAATGAGTGAAAATAGCAGGATCAAAATATAATTTTGCCATGAAAGTGAAACTATGTGCTGTATTTTCTTTTAATAAATAATAAAAGCATCAGGAGAGATTGCAATCAGAGGAAAGGTACCACACTATAGATGAATTCTGTGCACCTTCCAATTTTATTACTAGCAAGAAGGACATCACCAGATCATCAATGCTCCTTTGGACAAAATGTTAAAACAGAGTGCTTTTTAAAAAAAAGGTTAAATTACGGTGTTAATTTCCTTCCTTCCATATCAATGCTTTTTTTTTCTTCTTCTGAAAATGGTTAGGGAAGACAGTCCCAAGGAGGTTTAGCTGAAAGCTTCCTGTGGGCTGTGGTATGCAGAAAGAAGTTTACAGCAAGTGTCGAAGTGTCAGACACTCGGACACTCCTTGAACACTCATCGGATACCCGTGTCTAAACTAATATGTTAATTCAATTATAATTCATGCAAAATTAATAAACTACATTTGAAAGGCTTGAAAAACTTGAATTTCACTATATGCTCTTGTGAAATTGGAGTATGAACATCAATATTTTGTTTTTTTTTTATATAAATAAATAAATATAATTATTATATATATAAAAAATTAATTGCCATGTTCCATGTCCTATTTTTTGAGATTTGCCGTTTCCCTGTATCTCGTGTCGCGTATCCGTAGTGCCGTATTTGTGTTTGTGAAACATAGGTTTATAGTTGCAGGATTTGACTAAAAACCAAATACCTCATAATTGAGAAAGTGTTCAGAATCAGAACACATGCTAAGCTGCTTCCAATTATTAGTCTGCTACTCATATAGCAAAAACAAAACACCCCAAAATTCAGTGAGGTGATTACCAAAAGCCTACATCAATGAATTTGACACATAGAGGGGTGTCTATGTAATTATCAATTTTTTCTAAAAACAAAGGATTTGTCTGATAGTCCAGTCCAATCCACGATAGCATGAAATAGTCCAACTTTATGTGTGGTGTGGTCCAACATGCGAAACACAGCAATTGTTTGAGAGGATTGATTTGATTTGCTTTCAATCCAGGCCCAAATCATTTATATACCAAACAAGGGATTGGACCAAAACTAATTTGGCCCAACAAATTGAGTGCTTAGCTATACAAGACTTCATTGTGGAGCGCAACTTGACTTTTCAAAATTTCAAAGTCGTCTAATACATGTGGCCCACAGTGTTCATGTCGCATGTTTTTTTTCTTTTTTCTTTTTTCTTTCTGAACAAAATTGGATTTGACAACCCTTGAAGCACTTCTTCTTGTTTTATATATGATAATAAAATTATATAAAAACAAAATACGTAAATCAATCTCATACATTAATTAAATTTGAATGCATGATGAAAATTGAACAATTTTTTATTTATTTATGCAGAAATAAAAATTACAAAATGAAACCTCTATGGCAAGGAAGTCCAAAGAGGTTAAAATAGAAGGAAGATACAATAGAGAGGGGTAACCTATGCTCCCAATCAACAGAAGTCGAGAGGCCATGGGCCATATTAGCTGCATCATTTGCAGTGAAATATGTACTGGATTAGATTTTTATTTTATTTTTATACAAGCGATATTTTAATTTAATCTAACCTAAACTACGATGAGGGTGATTTGAATTTGAATTCGAATGCAGAGTGGGAAGCAAATCCGTTCTCTCCTATTTGACTAAGCCCATGTATGCGTTTGGATTAATTTTCTAAAGATAATATGTTAGCACTAAAAAAGCACTCCACGAGCAAGAAAATATAAATGTCAGAATATTGACAAGAGTTTCTTTTAGTTAATATCTGTTTGGAATTTAGCACGTATCATTAAAAAAGGGAACCTATTTGATATTTTCTGAGAGTTTTCTTCTTCGTCTCCATCTTCAATTCATCCTCTTGGTGAGGATTTAAAGGGAATATACAATTTAGTTTCCATATGTATATAACAAGTCTAAATGTATTAACAAAACCCAACTCTGAAAGAGCATGCAACAATTGCTTTGCCTTCTTCATGAATCTGATGAGGGTTTAATTTGTAACAGGTCAAGTTGAATGTTGCACGGGTTGCACCATTTAAGCTGACATTTCTACTGTACTGAAGTTCTGCTAATTTACAAAGTTTTCAGAAATCCAAAAAGAAAAGAAAAGAAAAAAACGCATTGGGTTTTGTTTACACAAAAAACACAAGCAGGAGGTGTGTACCAAAATGTTGAAACATCACGGTCTAGTAATTAATTTAATATCATCAGGAAAGTCTTGAAAAAATGAGGGAAAGAAATGTCAGGAAAAGAGGAATCCATGGCGTAACTGCTGATGTTGACTCAACTTTGTAATTATGGCAAAATGATTCAGATTTCTGAAAGAGTCAGAGAAGCCATTAAAGGCATTTAGTGTTGCATATGCAACCAGCTTCAGAAATTGATGACAGGATATGTGCATCAGAGAGAGAGAGAGAGAGAGGGAGAGAAACCAGACGACCATCACGGCTTGTCCTCACATCTTTCGCTGACGCTACAAACATTAATTCATTAAAAGAATTAACTCTTTACTTCTCTTCTAAAAATAAATAAAATTTTAAATAAATTACCATTTTTTTTTTTTTTTTTTTTTTTTTTTTTTTTTTTTTTTTTTTTTTTTTTTCTCTGTTCACATCACATATCTCATCCTGTTCCTTTACGTATTTATTTATGTGTCCTGATATGAGATCTGTAAGCAACAGCAAACTGGAGGAAATCATACACGAAATCACGTCAACCCCACCAGGCCGCCCCACCATACAAGTTTTCTTCACTGTCACACACACAGAGCTATATAGCTCACATTTTGAGAGAAATGAGTTACAGTGTGCCTAGGCAGTGCCATGAAATCTTAAGCAAATTAGGAAGACGATTAGTATGTCGACATTTTTTTTATAAAAATGTTTTATACTCGGTATCATTTTATGGTACATTATCGACATTTGATCGCTTGATATTCGGTCTACATTTGGTACGTAATACATCAAGCAATACCAGTAATCAGTAGACAGTATTCGTTACTAGTCAATCACTAGTTGGCACACAGTTATTCATGTATTCAAGTTCCATAGTCTATACAAATAGTTTAAATATTATATGTACATAAACAAGTAAGAAAATTGAAGTACGTAATTCTAGCAGCCAAGTGCATCTCGCTTATGAGCAAAGAGGAGAGTGCTTCATAATTTAAGGTCTTGTGAACCCAGCCAGAGTCAGAGAAGTCCAATCTATCACATCGTTTTTTCCTTTACTTGTTTTGCATGAAAATTATATATCCCTGAGAGCACAATCAAAATCACATTGTCTTGTGTTGTGTTGTCATTCAAAATATAAAAAAAATTCGCATTGTGTTGAAGAAAACTGAAATTGTTAAGAGGGTTATTTCAACAGTGTAAGAACTGGGGTTGCTTCTCAGATACAACTTAGTCATACATCTCACATCTGTCAGCCTTGAAAGATTATTCTCTCTCTGTATAATTCATGTGATGGGATCAGATGGAATTGAAGCATAAGCTTGGATCACATCTTTCAAAGATATTAATAGCGTAATAAAGAATAAACATGATCTTTATAAAAGAACTCAGATCTACACAAATCTTTTACAATCCAACCAAACTAATCATCTAAATTATCACAGATCCAGAGTGACGGAGATTACAATACAATAAACAGCTCCAAAGCTGGCTCCACCAACTAACACTAACAACAAAAGAAGTAAATTGAACATAAAGGAAAAAATACAAAAGATCATCAAGCACTTGTTCTGCAGGCATGTAAATCTGCAGAGCAGCAACCAGAATTCATGTATAATATAAATAATAATCAGAAGGGAAAAAATGAGAAAATTAACAGTGAATGTATTTAAGAAAATAGAACAAGGTCAATATTTAAGAGGGAGAGAGAGAGAGAGAGAGACCTAGTGTGGAAAATGGAAACCCTATATAGGCTATGGTGCTATAATGCACAAGTGAAAATAGGGTTGTGGTAGGTAAAAGAAGGCAATTAAAAGTGAAGAGTGGGATTAGAGAGAGCAGAAGTGGACAGAGAAGATTCTTGAAAGCCATCATGAAAAAAACCAGCCCAATGATATGAACCTGAAAGAGGGCGTGGGGGAAGCCTGACAAAGAAAACGCAACCCTGCATATATGCTGCTGATATTCATGAAATTTAGAAGATAAATAAAATAAAAGAGTAATGATGAAGATCTTTTCCCCACTTCCGTCAGAGATAAAAGGTTAAAAGAGAAGAACAGTCAAACCCCTTCATCATTACACCAATCTGCATCTGCCTGCCCAACTACCCATGTACAAAATTTCTTTCTTTCAACAGAAAAAAAGGGGGGGTTAAATAAAGTTCAGAAAAATACATAGATGTAAAGGCAGAAAAGAAAAAAAAAATCAACAAAAGATTGAAAAAAGGCCTCACCTTTGGATGATCAAGGCAAAAATCTAACATGGGTAAGTGAAGATCTGTGTGATTGGAAGCAATAATTGGGGGGAATGAAGCCTGGTCCGACGTCACTAAATGTAGAACCAAATGATCTGTCTCAACTGAGTCTATATTGTTGATTAAAATTGACATCAGTTGAGATGAAGATCATGGATCTAGTTAGGGGCCTCGAGCCAGACAACATTCCCCTCAAAAACAAATTAGCTTCCCCTTCTCTTTTGATCTTTGTTTTTTGCACCTATTTCACAGAACCAAGTTGACCCAAGAAACCTCAGGCTACTTCTAAACTTAGCAGAGAAGACAGAGAGAAACAGAGGAGCGGTGTGTGTGATTATGGTGAATGAGAAAAATGAAATGGGTGGTACGAGAGATGATGGGATAAAAAGGCTGAGACTTGAGAGAGAGAGAGAGAGGGAGAGAGAGAGAGAGAGAGAGAGAGAGAGAGAGGGTGAAAAGGACAAAGTAAATTAAAGTAGCAGAGACCCCTCCCATGACCCTACCAACTGGGTCTTGGGTTTACAGAAATGACCACGACCCAAAACCCCCTTCACTCTCCTCTCTCTCTCTCTATCTCTTTCTCTCACTCACTTGTCCCATCGTCTCTACCATGCAATATATATACATATATATATACACACACACAGAGCCTTAAACCCTCCCCTCACTCACTCACACACACACACACTTTACACGTTAATATCAAATCCCTTGTCTCCTCTACAGCTAAAGCATCATGACCTAATCATATCATCAGCCCACAACACTAATTCCATCAATCTCATCATCTCTCTACCCAAAGATTTCAACTTTAACAAAAACCCAATTCCACAAAGCCAATTCTAAGCACAATTAGCCTCTCTACGCTTTTTTTTCTTTTCCTTTTTCTGTGATGATATGAGGACGATGATTGATAAGTATTTATAACCCTAAAAATGAAAACCCATTTTGAGCCTTACGATGGTGACGAAGACCATGATAAAGATGAGACACCAACAAAGTAAACGAAAAGGATGAGTCTCAGTGGTTTAGTTGAGCTAATTCACCGACCCCTATATAGGAAACTTTTTTTTGGATTTTGGGTTTTGGGTTTTTTTTTACTTTTTTTTTATCTTTTGCATATATTTTTGTTATTTGAATATAATTTATGGTGGAATTTGGTAAAGCATTTAATAATATTCACGAAAAGGAGAATCCCTCGTTGAGTGCGTTTTCACTTCTTTTTATTACTACGGTCGCGGGGGATTCAAGATGACGACACAGAGTGACTGACAAATTTAAAAAGTTGGGGGAAGGAGGAAGAAGAGTCAGCATTCAGGCTTCCAGGCTTACAGGCTACAGCTCATTATTTTTCAGGTGCTTGCTGGTCTACTCTTCATAGCATGGTCTATCCATTCTCATTCCAAAATTCACCTATACATCATATATGTTATGTACATCATCATACACATTGCTTTGCCTAATTCTAAGCAAATCCACCTTGCATGTTGTTGTATATTAATTTTAAATGTTTAAACATATCAGAAATGGGAGGTACAATCTTATGCATATATAAATTGTCAACTCTGAATCGTTAATTTTTGTAAAGTCCACTATCATCAGTAATTCTCAAACACTAATAAACACGTCACGGCAAACATGACATTCTTCTAATATTATGATCACATTTTTATTGATAATACAACTCATTAAGTTTTTACTTTTCTTCATACTAATCTCCAATGAGCATGTGAGTCTTAACCCAAAGAAGTGAGTGAGAAGTTGAATATGAAAATTACATAAAGAAGTCATGTGTTGTCAAATCATAGCCAACTACAAATTGACCTTAATTTATCATCATGTAGCATGCCAATAGCCTTTTGAAGTTATATATATAGATGATCAACCATCCTAGCTAGTATAGCAATTAATTCAAGCTTTGTCAAAGAAGCCACAGCAACCACAGAAAATAATTTTTTGCAACTACAGGGATTGAAATTTAAATTCAAATTGGGTGCTTGGTGACCAAGTTGCTTGAATAAGATAAACAAGTTTGTGCCAAAACAAAATTCAATTTTACCCATTTACCATCAATTTTTTTTAAAAAAATAAAGCTATTTAAGATATAAAAAAAAAGTGGAAAACACAAAATAGGAAGCATGGCAACATTTTGGTTGGATTCAGGACCACATTAAGATGTCCATTGACCTGCAGTCACCTCTTTGACCCCAATCTCATGAGAAAAAAAAATTATAAAGAAAAATGTGTGAGATTTGCATTTCTCTTTTCCCGGGCTCCCTAATTTCATGGTGATTGACCTAAAAGCATCTTTAGACGGATACCAAACTTTACCTAGATTTTTGTTCTTTCCCAATTCCCACCACACATATTAACGGCATTGTCTCCTCCCCATTTCCTCATCAAAGTTCTTCAAACATTTATTTCCAAAGCTCAGTACCTACCTGCTGTGTGACCAATTTGTAATCACAACCCCATTCATCAAATCGCTTTGATGGACTAAAATATGGTGCTTTACCTTTCCGTTTTTTTTCACCACTAATAACATTTTAAGATAGAGCTTCAAATTTAGAAGTTTTCTTTAAGAATTGTAATGGTAACTTTTTATGCATTGTTTTCGACACTAATACTAAGACGTTCTGGGCGTTGAGTCATCATATAGAAGTGGACTACACATGGTGTTTTGTGTGTGTCTGGTGCATTTCCCGAGATGGGCAATCATAAATATGGATCCAGCTGAGTATACCCCATTGTTAAATATAATCTTGTTGCTTAAAATAATGAAGCTATTGGCCTCGTCCCCATACAAATAAACATTAAGAAAATGAAGGTGCAAGAGTAGTTGTAAAAAGTGGAAAAGGTGACGGCCCTTTTGCTCTGGCTTTTCTCTCATGTAGGCCTTGATTGAGCAAAGAAGATTCTTTGCAAACTACACAACGTAGAAAATAAAACCAAGGCTTTGGTGGGAGTGTTTCTTATATAAATATATATATATTTCAAACTTCAAACCCAAACATACATACCACGACGCATTAAGTTTTGCTTTAGTTGTTATTATATAAATAAAGCTCCAATGAAACAACTGAGAAAGTGCAGGAGCTGCTGGAGGAGACAGTTTTTACTGGCAAACGTAGCAATTTTTTTATCATTATTATAAAAGCTACCAGTGCCAATATGTCAGTTCTGGACTTCTTTCTCTTTTTAAAAGATATTTATTTGACTTGTTGGGCAATTTTTCATTTTCACAGTGGTTTGGGTTTGTCTGGTTGATTAGTTTGAAGGCCCAAATCACAATTGAATTTGGGCTCCATTTATACAAATGTGAAGCAAGTCCTCCACAAACTTCAGGAACTGTAAAATTCCTTGTTTTCAAACTTTATTAATATATAACAGAGGAATTTGACAGGTCCCAGAGCATATAACAAGTGTAGAAACTAATATTCAAAGGGATCCTTATCACTAAAATGATGAAAAGGTGAAGAACTTCGTCAAAATTCTCATATTTTTAAGCAATTGGAAATGTAATATTCAATCACACATGCATGAGAACTTCTTGAATTCACATCCCATCAGATTACAATTACAAGCACGGTATTCGTAAGACGTGGACTCACATAAACACATCACACATTTAAGGCTCCGGTTTGACCTTCATATCCCCATTCTGTAATATGCTTTGTGCTTGTGCAAGCCGTTTTGTTTCCTGTATCATAAGTACACAGCTTAAACCCCTACGAGAATAATAATGAACCACACACACACAATATGGACAATAACTCGAACAAAATATGGACAATAAACACAAACAGTCGACTTCTGCTGGGTGCAGAGTCAACACATTGGCAGCAGATTTAGTTGCCAAAAGGTAAACCTTCAAAGAACGGTTGTTCATCTCGATGAATGACCAAAAAGGAAGTAAAGCAGAAGGTTTCTTCACTTAATTTGTATAAAAAGAATATGACATCAAAGTACATCTGTGAAGGAGGCTAATAAGTTTTATAAATCCTTGTACAAGATGTTAGTGGGCCAATGCAAGGTAACTTACAGAAGCAGATGCAGCACGTATTTCTCTGTAAGATTCAACTTCATCAGGAAATGTTTGTTCAAGTTCCTCCAGAAGATGTTTGCGTAAACTCTATAAAAAAACATGAGTAGATGTTGAATCATGACAAACTTGGAAACAATGAAATGGAACTAAGCAATATTTTCACACTGTAAAAGTCACCTTGAAGATATCGGTTTTGCCTTTAGTGATCTGATTTTTGGCAATGCAGCTGTTAATAACATCCCTTGTAAATTCATCAGGATTCTTCCCGTCGTCAATCAAACTACACAAAAGTAATAAGTCAACAGTAGTCAGAGCTTGTCCATAAAAGAGGAAGCTTCAGTTGTTAGAAAGCAAATTTGGGAAGAAGCCTCACTTAAAAACTTCCATAGGAACCTGGATATTGCATTTTTCAGACAACTTAGCCATGTTGTCAAGCTCAATAACAAGAGCATTTCTGAGAGATCAAACGTAAAGTGAGAAAGTCTTCAAGCAACAATAAATATATTGAGAACAAAAGGTTTGAATAATTATTGAAGAAGCTCAGACTGAGAAAATTACAGGCGTTGGAGGAGGGGGAGCTGAGAGGCAGCATTGAACGAAGAGACAGTGAGGTAGAGCTGGTGAATGAGCCCCAAAATTTTCTGAATAGAGTTATTGACCTCGTTCAGGTTTTGCTTTGGATCATCTACCACTGTTGCTCCTGTTGTATCATTGGTTTGAGGGACCAAAACCCCGTTTCCGCCACTCCCACCGGTTGCAGCTGTTGCATTCTGTGATTTATCCATCCCAGTCCACTCCAAAGCTCTTTAAAAACGTACCTGTCAAGTGGAAATTAGCCAATTAGCAGTAAAACATTAGTTAAATAACAGGTTTTCCGTGAAATTGGTAGTTTAGAACTTCCCAAAATACAAAGAGTAAAAGTGCAGCTGATGCAAATATTTGTGCATGTGATTCGTATAACAAACCTACTTGGCTTCAGTAAAACTTGAAATAAACTTTTCATGTGCATTTTTCTCAGTTTCCAAGAGAGACTCCACAGTTATTTTCTTATGGAAACATAAAATTGGGTTTGTATTTTCATAACAAGCAACAGAACAACCAACTTTCAATTTATCTGTAAGAGCAAATTCAACCTGTTTGCTTAAACACGCTATGTTATTCTAACTCTATGTCCAAGTCACCTAAAATTTTCAATCTATATGGGTAAAAGAAAATATCCAGAGGTTGCTTTACACAGCACTTCTCTTTCAACTTCAATAAATTGTGTAGTCTAAAAATTCAATCATCCCAAACTTGAAGACAACAGTAAGATTAGTATATACCTATAATTAAAGTTTCTTTCAGTTAAGTAAAGCAATCAAATTTCCAACATCAGGATTGAAACCTTCAATTTCAATTCCAAAGCTCAATTTTTTTCAAAGACATGGGAAAAGATTTCTAACAAGCTTGCTCTCCTTTTTCCAAAATCGAATGCAACCCAATATAATTCCGCAAAAATACAATAATCCCAATTTGCTGGTACCAATTAAAGTTGCCAAACTCCAATTTTCATATTCGTTAAGAACCGGACATCTATCAAAACCTAATTGAAATTGAGCCCTAATTAGCCAAAAGTTACCTGGTGAGAATTGCTTGTTGAAGTCCAGGCGGGGAAGCTTTTCTCCTACCAACGGAAAGAGGAGTTTCAGACTCTTTTCGAAGCGACGTCGCTTTTGTGTCATAATATTTGTTTCGGTTAATTCCATTTTCTCTTAGATGGGGCTTTTGTTTTTTTGGGCCAGACCCATTATTAAGCTGCAATACTGAAGTGGACTGACCTCAGTTAAGCCCAAAAAGGCCCAATAAGACCCCACATTGCTTCTTCTTACGATGCAAGCTTTGAACTTCTCGAGTTTCAAAAGTTATGTTCAAGTATTGTTTAACAGAAGTGATATTGAGGGAGGGACGAATCGAACCAAACTCAGGTGTCGGGGTAAATACTCTTAACTACTTGAGTTACAAGTCCCTTGCAAGTCTTGTCGAATTTGGAAAATTAAAAAATAATTATAGATACCACTTTTTACTTGTGCAAATAAAGCTAACTTTAGGCTACATTTCCCCTAAAAAATTGTCCAATTGTTTCTGAAATGGCCAGGTTCTGAGTCCTCCCTTTGCCAGGTTCTGAGGTCCTGTTTAAGTAAGGCTGAAGCAAATTTTTGTAAAACTTTCCCGGCCTATATAGCCCAGCCTGGCCTTTAAATAAAATAAAATAAAAAGAATAGCCCAACTTGTATCCTACACCCAATCGCATTTGTGATATTATTCAAAATCACAACAAAACGTAGTTTTCTAGCATTTTTCTGATAAATAAAACCAGTGACGAATCCATTAAGCTTGCAATCGCCATCAATGACAATTGACTACCTCCAATCGTCCTCGTGCTAAGCTAATTCTAGGAGCATGGACCATACAGTTTTTTTATTTATTAAAATCAACAAGGGGGATTCAAACCTCTTTCAACATTACAAAGAAAAGAAAAATATTGTTAGACTAATAATTAGTTTGTAATGGCAGACCTATTAAGGTACAAGGAGGTGCAGCTGCACCTCTCATCGTCGGAAAAACCATTGTATGTGCTTCAAATTGTCCATTTGCTCAATTTGTGGTGGTGCACAACATGTGTACAGATTTTGTCCTTTTACTTTCATTTCTTTTTATATTACTCCATTTACTTAAGTTTACAATGTAAATAAGGATGTACTCCCCATTTAGATTCAAATAAAAATACTATAAAATCAAATTCCCACCAAATCAAAATATGAAAAATTGATTTTAGTGTAAAATACGATTTAGGCTAAAAATAATCCATTAAGTCAATATATACTTCATAATAAAATCTCATAAAATCAAGTTTTCTTATTTGATGTGTAAGGAATAAAAGCCGCCAAAAATTATCTTGAGAAAATGATTATTCTGAAAATTATTTTTCATGTATGAGATTGATATGAATGAATGAAGGGACCTAATATCAATCTAGTTAAAAACTCTTAGATGTTCAATCCACAAAGAGTTTTTAGACTTTCAAAATTACAACTCTGCTAAAAAATTTCTGGATTTGCCAATGCTTGTCTAGATATATTACAAGGTAGAATTAATGGCCACTAATGGCAAACATAGTTGAGGAATTATTAATCTATATGAATTGTAAGTGCTTAATCTCGATGTGCACTTTTATATATATATATATATATATATATATAGTATATACAAAATATATCTTAAAAGGATAGCACCTGTTGCCTACATTGCCTACATTGCCTTAGTCAAATAATCTCATGAATCCATATTGACTATATATATAAAGATTATATCCTTTTGAGTGCAAGATAAGTGGATATATATATTTATTTATTTGGGCATTCGTAAGTTATTACTGTGTTGATGTCATTGTAAACAAAAAGAAAAGCATGAAGAGTAGTAGAAAATACATTACGTCATAAGAGAAAATATATATATATGTGTGTGTGTGTGAGTGTGAACTTTTGTAGTGAAATCGCATAAGCACCTGTGTTTATTTAAATTTATATGCACATGTTGCCCACATTGCCTTAGTCAAATAATGTCATGAATCCATATTGGCGTACACAAAAATTATATCCTTTTGAGTGCACGGTACATGAATATATATATATATATATATATATAACTATGCGGAAGAGAGGAAGGCAGGGAGGGTAGTAGAAAATACATGGCGTCTACATGGTAATAACTTTTGGACATCCGCATGGTAATAACATTCAGACGTTTGCATGGTAATAACGTTCAGACGTCCACGTAAGAGAAATATATATATGTGTGTGTGTGTACATGCGCTTTTGCAGTGAAATCGCATAAATAATTGATGCACGTATGTGTATTTATATTTATATTAATTATTGCACTTGTACATGGCTCAAAATAATTTGAACTCTAAATGGTGCATATAAATTCAGTTTATTGTGAGATATTATAAATGTTGTAAATAATGAACGTGTTAATTCAGTATGAAAATAATATAATGGTTCAGTTCGTAAGCGGCGTAATTAGCACACCACTTAGCTAGCTGAGCCATACTGATGAGCAGTGAAGTGAGCTCATTTTCAGGTCAGCCCAAGTGGTCAATGAACCATCTTAGTTTACAGACAGATTAATTAAATACTGCGTCATGTATTCTCCAGTGAAAAGGAATAAACCCTCGTCAGTGAAATTCATCTATCAAATCATATCAGATTTGTTTCTTGAAAAAAGTTGGTGTAGAAATTTTTTTTATCACCAGTTGAGTCATATCATGCAAGTGGCAAGCATCAAGTGCAAATTAAAATTGATGAGCCAAACCTCGCATCCCTCATGCATATCTCTGTTAAATTAATTAATATATATTAAGAGAGTTTTGTTGAATAACCCACTTGTGTTCGACCAAAAAAGACCCACTTGTGACTAATTGATCACCACAACTACTTGGAAATAAATTATAGTGGGTTTGCACAAAAGTTATGCACATCGTGGTTTCTGGTCAAACATGATGAGAATTGAGAGGCAACGGATCAGCAATTGTCGAATTTAATTGGAGAGTTTTAAAGCTAGCTTCTCAAAAGAATGTTGAGTGAACGTGGAACTTGCAATGCCACTTTATTTTTTTTCTCTTTTCTTTTTCGTCAAAATTAAAAAGAGGAGGGGGGAAAACTCATATGCACAGTATCATGGGAGTTGAACCCATAACTACTTAGAAGCACGTCAAAGATCTGAACCAATCCAACTAACATCCATATTTAAGCAAATTTATGAAATATGTGTTCCCGCAACTCCGTTGATACCTTGCAATGCCACCTTTAATTACCCAATATGAGTGGGAAGCCCACTCAATCAAGTAAAATGGCAAAAAATTAATCTTGGAATATGATTCAATGTCATCTTCAATTAGCCAATTATCACTCAGTATTAGTGAAATCATTTCCCAATATTAATTTTTTGCCATTTTACTTGATTGAGTGGGAAGACCATCCCACTCATATTGGGTACATTGACTGAACTTACAAGTAAGGCAGAGGTAGTTATTTAAAAAAATAGAATGGTTGTATTCAAACGTTAATAAATAAAATAATGTATGAAAGAAGGTTTGAAGTTATTTTGGCTGGACAAGAACATATTCCCAGTTTTGCGGTTTGACTGCTTGCTGCAAGTGGGAAATCAAGTATTAATTACATTAAATAATACAATGTTCTATTCGATTGGTTCTTGATGAATCTTAATGCATGCAAACAGTCAAGAAAAATATATAATTAAAGTTTAGATTACGCCAAAATTGAAATCTCACCATTAACAGTGAGTCCCATATTCAGCAGTATCACATGATGCAATCGACTTCTTTTTTGAATAAGATATCATGTATAATTTGAGATCTGTTAATTTAAAAAGTAAATATAGATTTGCTTTTCAGATAAAGACCGTCGAATCAAGGGCGGAACCAGAAATGTTTTTATACGAATCGGCTCAAAGAAGAAAGCCTCAAGTTTGAAATCTTTGAGGTATGGCTAAATGGACATGTGCTTCGATAGGATAGTGAAATGAGGTGTAATGTCCCAAACATTGCCCCAGGCTAGAGCCCAACCTTTAGTGTAGTTCAGCTATGCGTGTCGAATTTAGGATGAATCACATACGTAAATCTTTTGAGATATGTCGGAATGAGATATGTCGGAATGGGATATGTGAACAAATTTGTAGCATCGAAAATGAAAGTGCAGACAAAGGTGATCAATTATTGAGTCTCTATCTAATCGACAGATGTTTCACGATCATGCGCATAATATTATCTACAGTATAGTGTAGTACATATAGATCTGTATCTTTTTTTTCCATCGGTTCGCTCTCACCAATTTGAAATAAACGCATGCATCACACCGCATCTGAAACCAGCAACAAGGATTCGCGTCCTTCATAACCATTTGAGGCCAAATGTCTATGAACAGAAAAGAGAAGAGTGTGGTCAATTCAATTTCTTCTCACTTTTTAACGTGGATGGTCTTTGAGATTTCTTCTGATAAGGTTTGTCGTCCAAACAAATACGTGGAATACTTTTTGGTCAATACATGTGGATTATTAGAACTGTAATTCTTCTTAAATAATCTACATCAAAATTCAACCGCCATTTGGCATCCTTTTTTCGGTTAAGTTGGCGGTTAAGTTGACGTTTGGCATCCTATTCAAGTACGGAAGTCAAAAAATTTGAGAACTTTCTTTTTTTTAAAAGGAGTTCTCAAATCTACTTTTTAATATTCAAAAATTTGTTTAGTATCCTATTTAAGTATGGACTGAAAAACTTTTAAAACAAAGAATTCTAATTAAAATTCAGGTTTTAGCACTCAAAAATTTGTTTAATATACAACTTGAAAATAGTTTTTAGAAAGGAAAAAAATCTTTTAAAAAATATTTTTTTTTGGTATTTTTAGTTATTTTTTATGAAGAAATTATGAACAAATTTTGACCACCTGGGACCGAAGAGTCCAGGTGAGTCTTTCAGTGCGGAACCACCTAGAGTTGCTTTCCTTGCGACTATTCAGTGGCCCTCTTGCAGTGTCGAATGACGAAGCCAAATTACAATTATACCCACCCGCGGTGCCGTTCGGACGCCTACAGACAAGCAAAGCAACGGCATTTTGGAACATACGAAAAAGTTGTGAGACGTCACATTTCGTTAACTGTAGAAGACGCGTGGAGGCTCCACCAGCAGCTTTGATGCGCGGGAAAAAGCAGGATCGTCGGAACTTTAACGGAGAGGCAGGTAGAAAAGGCCAGTGCATGGCACACGCGGCCAGGAAGCTACCAACAAATTCACAAGGGCCACCCTCGCTTCATTATGCATGGGGGACCTCGTGAGTCGTGATCCGATTTCAACAAGGATCACCATCAGATTCAGAGTCGAACACGTGTACGCATCAAAAGACATCAGTCCAATTTTTTTCCATTTTATTCCATTCTTTTTTTTGGTTATTTATGGGAAATTGGTAAGAAAATTGAGAAAATTGGAAAATATGCACGCACGTGTTCACTGACACAAGAGTGATAATTAAATTTGAGAGCTGATCTTCTACTTATCTTTTATTCACTGACACTTTCTTTGTTAGAAATTATATGTTCATACTTCTCTTTTGTCTATTTGCACTCCTTTTTTTGTTATAGTCAAAACTATTAAAAAAACAAAAGAGAGTGTAAGTAAATAAAATGAAAGTGAAAAAATCACTATCCTTAAATTTTTTTTTAGTATTCTAAGATTAAAATTTAGGTTTTGATTTGGTTGTGTTGTGGGTGGTGACGAGTGGTGTTGGAGGGAATAGCGAGTAGGTGGAGCCCAGATAGTGCATGGGTCGAACATCCCTGGTCAGGCCTTATGATAGCTTGGTCTTCTAAGTGAGAAAGATGAAGCATCTTAGCTCCAATAATGGATTGATTAAACTCAGGCTCAATAGTGATAGTTTTTGGATAATTTCAACTTATGTCCTTTTAAGGTGGTATTTCATTTATTTATATTATCATAAACTAGTTATAATATAATGATATTTTTCTTCTCAATATTAGAAAAAGTTCAAAGTTTGAATCCCGTATTTCCAAAAATAAAAATGTCATAACAAACACAATGGTATTTATCTTCCCAATATTGAAATAATACAACTTCTATTCGTTCTCTTATATATAAAAGAATTATATTTATACATATATTTATGAGGACCTTCTCAAATTATTTTATATAACAAGTAATTAAAGGAGTATTATGTTAATTTTACATGTCTTCATCGTGTGACAATCATGTATATTTTTTCTAAGTCATGAATGTGTTGTGGTCTTTTAGTTATAATGTTTGATTGGGGTTGTTGGTTGTTGGACTGCACGAAATAAGGTGCATTAAGCCCTTCATGTGCCCCATTTCTAAGTTAGCAAGAACTAAGCCCAAAACACCTCGAAAAAAATTGAATCTTAGGGAGTGCTTTGTTTGCTTTCTCCATTGGTTCATTAAGCTGGAACTCAAAACAAGATTCAATGTTTGAGACAAAAAGAAAAAATGGCTTGGCATGAGAGGCATGAAGTGTGGGAGCCATTCTGCCTTAACGCTGAGTCAATGTGGTCCGGCTCATCTTGGGAAGCCATAGTATTGCTTATGGTCTTCCTTCTTGGAGGCATTGATGAGAATAATGACCTGATCCCCAACATAGTCGCCTATTTATGTACAAGGTTTTTTTGTTCACGCAACTCTAAATGGACATGGGTTGCTGCAAAGAACGAGTGACGCTAACCCTGTGCGTGAGTTCAACATGCCTCAAAACACTCTTAAAGGATGTAGATTCTTAGGGAGTGCTTTGTTTTCTCACAAAAAATAAAATGACTATGGTAAACCAAAATTTCAACTTGGCTTGAAAAACTTGTGGTGTGGAAGTTAAGTTTCATAAGTTTAGCAAAAGATAGGGGGAGCTTGGGTTGTTAGAACATATTATTTCATAAGAGAAATGATAATGTTTCAGCTTTGGAATGGGGTTTTGGGAGATAAGGGAACAAGATGGAAGAGATTGTGCTTGAGTTTGATGCATCCAGCAGTTAGAGAATATGCTTACTCGATTTGTTCTTCTTGTTCTTCTTGATCTTCTAGGTAACTTATCACCTCCTTTTATAGGCATTGAAGACCCTGTTCCCTGGTTGGTTCATTCTTCTTTGGCTAAGTCTTCTCCTTCTTTTCTTCTCACTTTCCCCGACCTGGCCTTAATAAGTGAAATTTCCTTGAAATCAGCTGAATACATGATCATTGAGACAAAAACATTTTGGTGCCTAAAGCCTTCATGCAGTTGAGCCTTGTAGAGGCTTCCTTTCAAGGCAACGCTCCATCTTGCTTTCCTTTCTGTTTTCTTACGCGAGCTTAGAGAAACAAAGTGGGCAAAGGCGATGGTCAGATAGAATGGTCTTAAACTTTACCACCAACTGCTCATGTATCTAGGTGAACGAATTTGTAAAGGTTTTGGTTTGGATTTTAGGCAAATTGGTTCAATCTCAACAAAAGTGGTATTGTAATTCCCTCTCTGCTTACCTATGTAGTTTGGCTTAAGAAATTGGGCATGTGTTTTGGTGCCCCTAAGCAGCCCAAAACCTCCACCTTTTGAACCCTATATGAGTCTTATGAAACCTTGTACACATCCACACCACAACCCACTCAGCACGCCCCTGATATTTATGTGGCTTGGGCTTAAGCTTGTCGGGTGGTATGGCACTAAAAAGGAGGGTCGATGGGCGTTGCATATTACTCGCTTGGGCTTCGTTATTTTGCAATGGGGTTAAGACCGTGTTAGGTAATGCTTGATGAAGCAATAAGTTTGGTATACAAAATCGTACATTTGCTCGGCCTTATTGTTACCTCTCATGTGCCGAGTTATATTTTCTCTTAGCATGGAACAAATATTGATGCTTCCGTAAGCGCCTTGTAGCAATATTCGACAGGTTTCTGCATACCATGTTAGGCCTCCTTTACAGCTAGGCACTGCATTAGGCTCAACAAAATGTAATTTAAATTAACATAATGGAATCATAATACGACAATCATGTATACTTTTCCTCAATTATGGATAAACTTAGAGCTAACCCTGACTTTTGAGTGTCCCAATGCCAGAAATTAAAATGAGGCCCTTAATTTCCTTTTGTATGTAATAATAATTCAACAATAAAAAAATAAAATTATACACATGTATTTTATTTTTAGCTTAAATAAAATAATTTAATTCAACTAAATAACAAATGCAAACCAGCATATGGTTGACAACAAAAAAACCACCAAAATAAAAGAATTAACCATTTTCTTGAAGGAGTGTTTGATTAATAGCATATTTGTTATTCCAAAGTAAATTAATAATTTTTAAATGTAGGCCCTTGTATTGTTAAAGATTTGAAGTGATTTTTATTTGTGCCCATATAATTTTGAACTCTTCAAAAATCACTTTCAATATGGGCCTCAACAATAATATACAACATGTACAAATATAAAAAATTTGGGCCCCCTTAGTCGCCCTCGGTGCCCAGCCCTAGGGCGACCCTCAATAACGTTTCAACAAAACGTACTATCACTTCTTATAATTCAAGTGGCAAAGTAATAATGTTAATACTCAAAACAAATGTGTAACAAGAACTTGATTCTCACTTTGGCCCAATATGCATCCAAAAAGGAATAAATAAAGAAATAAAATGCGGAGTTATATCTAATTACAATTTAATCCAAACTTCGCAATCAATGACTTCACATTTCATCATCACGGTTTACGACAATCATACATACTTTTCACCGTTATAAACTTTTTAATTTAAAATTATGTAATGAATTATAACTACTTACAAACAACGAACTACAACTACTTATAAAGAAAGCGGTAACTTAGTTATCTTTACACTCGTGATGAATATTTAACGAGAAATTGATTCTCTCACTTCGGTGACGTGAATACCAAAAATAAAACCACCTAATAGGTACTTTAGATATGAAATCTAATGTTGAAATTCTAAGTTAAAATCCTATCGAATGTTGAAATCCTAAATATGAAAATTATTCTTAAAAAAATAAATAACTAGGTGCATTAACTAGTAGGTATAAAATGTCACACTCAACACAAGCTTACTTAGGTAATTTGCTCAAATAGAAAATCTTACACACAATTTTAATTAGGTAATTGATTTTCTTGATTATAACTTCCCATGCATTCGATTTCGACCAAAGAAGAAAACTTCCCATGCGTTTCATCCATCCCGTTTTACGTTTTTGTTTTGATACGATCCCGTTTTACGTTATTCCAGGGTGTTCTTCAAATTTTAACTTTATATTATTTCTTTCTATATTTTATTATCCTCCGAGACAACAACCCCTACTATTTCATGTGGTCTCTAAAAAACTCTATAAAATCCCACCCGACTTCTTCATAGTCCAACCCAAAATTGGAAACCAACCACACTATATTGCCTCCCCTCAAAGATATAGCACTGCCCTTTCCCCATGGAAACTCAGATTGATCACAGCTTGTGGGTTTTGGCCCTCTTCTCCAAATGCCAAGCCTTGTCTTCCACGGCCACTCTCTTCGTCTTTCTCGTCTTGGCCGCAGTTTATTCAGCTGCGGCCGTCTTCTACTGGTCCTCAACTCCCGGAGGCACAGCATGGGGAAGGCACCACTGGAAAACAGGAAATACTCTTCGTAAACTTGTTCAAAACCATAAAAATCAACTCTCCACTACCACCCCAATTCCCGGGCCACGTGGATTTCCAATCATAGGCAGCATGAGCCTCATGACCAACCTAGCACACCACAAGCTCACCAAAGCAGCTGAGCTCTTCCAAGCAAAGAGGCTCATGGCTTTCAGCGCGGGTGAGACACGTTTCGTCGTCACATGCAACCATAACGTCGCCAAGGAGATCCTCAACAGTCCCGTCTTCGCCTCCCGTCCGGTGAAAGAGTCGGCTTACGGGCTCATGTTCAACAGGGCAATTGGGTTCGCTCCATACGGAAATTACTGGCGTACCCTCAGACGCATCTGCGCCTCCCACCTCTTCTCCCCCAAGCAAATCTCCGCCTCCGAGCATCAACGGTTCGAAATCGCAGACCAAATGGTTTCCATGATCTCGGCACGTGCCGAGAACAGCTTCTGCGTCCGCGACATTCTCCGGAGAGCTTCGTTGAACAACATGATGTGCTCGGTTTTCGGACTTAAATATGAGCTGGGCTCGTCGAACGAAGAGACAGAGGTCCTGAGGCGGCTCGTGGACGAAGGCTATGACCTGTTGGGGAAGCTCAACTGGTCTGATCACCTTCCATGGCTCGCCGGTCTGGACCTTCAGAGCGTCCGGTCTAGATGCTCCAAGCTCGTTCCTGAAGTCAACCGGTTCGTCGGCCGAATCATTCAAGAACACAGAGCTCGAACCGGCCGGAAGAACCATGATTTTGTGGACGTTCTTCTCTCTCTTAATGGACCTGATAAGTTGTCCGAGAGTGACATGATTTCAGTTCTTTGGGTAAGAATCTCTAAATCCAGAACTATGCATGGAGTTTGAATACAAATGATAGGTTAAATTACTTTAAAATTAATTTTAAAAAAGAGTATTCAAGTATTTTATCACTGCTCTAATTAACTGGCTTAACATTTATCAGTTGCTTTCAATTTCTTTTTTGTGGAATATATTTGTTCCATGTCATACTACAGGAGATGACATTCAGAGGAGCAGACACTGTGGCGGTTTTGATCGAGTGGATTTTGGCAAGGATGGTGCACCATCACGATGTCCAATCAAAGGTGCACGAGGAGCTCGATCGGGTAGTCGGATCACGGCCGTTGGTTGAGTCTGACATTCAATCAATGGTTTATTTGCCAGCAGTGGTCAAAGAAGTCCTGAGGCTACACCCACCGGGCCCACTCCTATCCTGGGCCCGCTTGTCCATCAGAGACACCGTCGTGGATGGCTATCACGTGCCTGCGGGGACCACAGCTATGGTGAACATGTGGGCCATCACCAGGGACCCAGAAGTGTGGGAGGACCCACTCCAGTTCAAGCCAGAGAGGTTTGTTTTGTCCAAGGATGCTGACGTGCAGTTTTCTGTGTTGGGATCTGATTTGAGGCTGGCGCCGTTTGGTTCGGGCACGAGGGGCTGCCCCGGGAAGGCTTTGGGGTTGACCACGGTGACCTTTTGGGTGGGGTCCTTGCTGCATGATTTTAAGTGGGCGAAGTCGCATCCTAATGAGCCGGTGGACCTGTCCGAGGTGCTCAGGCTTTCTTGCGAAATGAAACACCCACTCACCGTAAAAGTCAACCGTAGGAATTGACCGGAAGTGCATGGCAGGCAGGCGCAGCAGATGAAACCAAGAATGTAGTTGCAGCAGATATTGCTCTCCTTAGCCTATAAGAAAATAGTAGTCTACGAATCTATGTTTAGAAGAAGTTTATAAGTTGTATAAACAAAGAGAACCCTAAAGGTTTTCACCTAGTTCATCTGCAACTCATGTATCGTACCTTTGGTTGTGACCATGAAAGAATGTACTAGGTTGTATGACAATTAAACTTAATGTTCAGTATTTCTATTTGAACCAATATTGGATATGCTGGTGCTAGCCTTTTGTGAATGTATGCCCTTTTTTTTTTCTTTTTTTTTTACTGCTGCTAAACTAATTTTAAAATTAACTGAGTACACTATATGATCTAAATACACCATAATATTTTAATCAAAATGTAAAATTAACTAAGTACACCTTATTTAACTACCAAAAATACCTTTGCTACACCCTAATACCAATCCTAAACCAGGTTTCTCTTTTTTACGAGTGTTATACTTTTCCAGCTCTTACTTGTTGCAATTTCTACACTCATGAATCTCAATGTCTAAAATTTATTTAAATTTTTTACTTTGGCTGGAAAGCAAGGGCATAGAAGACTTTGGTGATGTTATTAGAGAAGCCGGTAGAAATCTCAATGTCTGCAATTTATTTAATATTCCATACTTTCTCATCTTCTTTAGCCTTAAATTAAGTAAACCTACTTGTATGATTATTTGTTGGTTGATATCCAACTTGATGTCTTGTTTGGTTATAATCTACGTGTATTCAGTGACTAAAATTAATTATTTTTCTTTTGTCTTGAAGGCTATATTGCAGCTGACAGAATTAGGTTCATTTTTCCTCTAGATTGATCTGTTTAAAGTACGTGGGAAGTTTGCCTTATCATATGTTTATGAAGATCGCTTTTGTACTTTGCAAAGGGAAAATTCTTCTAGTCACTCATTGAAGATTGATACTGTTGCCAGTAACTTAGCTGTATTAGAATCATTGCTATCTATCCCTTCCTATATGCTATACACCATTAAACGACACCTCTTTGCTCCTTCGTCAGTGCTCGCGGTGTTGTTCGTGGGCACCAAATATTATGAAAACTTCTCTATGTTTGATTAGGGTTGAATATGGTGAGTAGGGTGTACTTATTAAAATTATATTTATTTCACAATTCAATATATTCTTTTCGGTAATTTTATATTAGAGTAAATTAGTAATTTAATAAATAGTTTTGTAATATGGTGTACTCAGTTAATTTTAGGGTTCGTTTAGCACTTTTTTTTTTTTTTTTTTTTTTTTATGGGGAAACAAATGACACTGAATGAAAGCACGTGGGCAAATTGACCCAGTTGCATATTCAGTGAGAAATTGATATTTGAGCTAAAGTAGAGGGAGTAAAACAATAAATAGACCGTTTTATGTTGAGCACAGTATCATAATCCGTTCTTTTAAACACAGTGATTTAATTCACGCAATTCGATTAGAGATGATGTAGTTAGTAATGTGGTCATCCACTGTATGAATTAAATGCGAAAGCCACAGCCACTAGTCATAAGCAACAAGTTGATAGATAGCTTGGATTGAACGACAGAAATGAAAGTTGATGACGAACGATGAGAGAAGTGCCTTGGCCATTACGGCTAAAGACTACATTGGGGTTGAGGCTGTCGTTTCCATGTTTTAGTAATTAAAGTGGTATTTGGTCAAGTCCAAATCAAATCTATTGTGATGCCCACTTGTTATTGGTAAAGCGAACGTAGGGTCGTTTTTCTCAATTAATATCTGGGGTTCAGTTGATGTTTGTCGTTTGGCTGTAGATGGGGCAATATAATTGTCGTGTAGGCATCAGCCAATCAAAGTTGATTGTTGAACCTTGAGCATATCGTCTTTTGCAAACAAGTTTTCGATGACAAGATTTAGTAAGATTTGAGATTGTTCATCTTTTGGATCTTACAAATGAAATATGCCCTTTGTCTGCAATCAGACCCTACCACATATGTATATGACATATCATTGAGGTGTGGAATCCGTGTTCTTCGATAAAAAGCTTCCTGTGTTTATTTATAGGAGATTGGCACGTACCTTCTTCTTTTTGGGATTCATTATTATACACAATATAATGACTCAAATTATGAAAAAACCTTATATGAAATGAATTTTAGAAACACACCCAAACCTCATTTACAATATAATGAAGAGGTTCTTCATTTTTTATAAATTACAAAACTGCCATCAATTATAGAAATTAAATGATATAGAATTTATCTATATTATTACTAGTGCTAAAAATGGGTATATGACTAAATATATTCTCTATTTTTTGGGTCGAAAAGATTGGTACATACTTGGTTGTGCAACCACATGTAAATATCTCAATCCCAAAGCCTTTCACATTCCAACATCTGGCCTTAGGTCATCTATGATGCATTCCTAAAAATCATACTCCACCGAAAATTTATGTCATGCTTAATTATTTGGACTAGTTGGGAGAAGTCGTGAATAAGTTCCGGGAGATAATAACTGAGTATGGGATCAACTACTCTTCCTTCTCAATATAATTGATGATTTGCCTTGTGTTAGATTATGAGTAAACTCATAGGAAGTCAAGAATTAAAATAATTCTCATATTCATATATTAGTTAATGCATGAAAAATTTAGAATGCGAATAATTTCAATGCTCATTTGGGAGTACAAGTAAAAGTCTAAATTACATATGATAGAAGTTTCTTACACATGCACACAACTAAGATGTCATGTGGGTTTGAACTTGAGACCTATGATCTGCAAGTCAATAGTTTTTTCCATTGGACTAGACCTGTTGGCTCAATACTCATTTTCATTACTATTTTGTCCCCGTTAACAATTTAAAATTACAATATATCATTAAATGCATTTTTTAAAATTTGATTTAATTGGTATAATTGAAAATTTATACAAACTTTGCTTTCCATTCCTACTCAAAACAAACATGGAAAATGAAATAAAGTGATATCTCCCAGTTACTTTCCCATCATTACCAAACGTGGGAAAAGAATCTTCAATTTCCCATCCCTCAGGAAATGATATGGGAAATAATTTCCCCTCAAATTTGTTTTGTGAACCAAACGGGGCCTATGAGTCTTACCCGTAACCACTTTGGACCCAAAAATTCGAACTTGAATCTATGTTTTTAAGTCTCTTATTTAAGATGGCATAAAAGGACTAAATTGACCTCAGCTCAGCCTAAATTTGTGCACTGAACACCTAGAAAGGTCTCCAAAAAATGCTTAAGGATTATTGAACATGCTTTACCAGATGGGCTTCAAATTGCCCAACAAGGAGGTCTCAGATCTAGCAATTTATTGCCCACTTAGAAGGACCTGATCCATTGTGAATGATGCTTAGTTGGTTACTCAAACCAAAGCAGAGTCCTGATTGTAAACGGAGGGGTTCTTTTGAAGAAATACTCTCCTATCTCCGTTTTATTGTCTCCCAAATGATATGAGAAGAGAGCTAGTGAGAATGGGGCAATAAAACAGAGATATGGAAAATTTTATCTTTCCTTAACACCATGTTTTCCCTTTTCCTTGTCTTAAGAAGCATTTGGGGTAACAACCAAAAGAACTACAAGCAGGTCCCCCCAATAATGTCTTCAACTAACAGATGGCCAAATCAAAGAGGGAAGCAAAATTGGAGCAACCAAAGGCAAAATATGGCCCATTTGGCCAGAAGCACCATGTGATGATGCAATACCCACACCACATGTTCTATTAGGCATAGCCACGAGTTCTTTTAGGCATAGCCACATGTTCATGTAAACTAGTAACGTTACATCAAAGTGTTACATCAAAGTGTGACAATGTATGGTATATATGGGTTAAGCCAATTGCCAAGGCAATATGCCTGTCCTATATTAAAATAATTATCGCTTTTGTTAAAAAAGGTGATAGTTTTTAAAATAATTTGGTGGTGCAGAAAATTGGTCGAAAAAGCATTCAGGCAAAAACCATAGAAACATTAGAGCTACCCAAAGCATAATTAGGATTCATGGTACGAAGTTGAGCAAAGGGGACAACTATTTTTACAAGAGCAAGACACCAAGCACATCCCTGCCCTAAGACACTTAATTATTCATAGACCCAAGGGAAAAAAAACTTGACAAAATACACATTTTTCTTCACTTCTTATTCAACAACCCAGAATCCTGCATTCTAGAGATTGCCTTCTCAAACTGGCTCCACCTCTGCTCCAATGTCCCAATGTACCCAATTGACATCCTCACCAACCCAGGAGAGATCCCAGCCAGAGACTTCTCCTCATCATTCATCTCACTGCTGGTGCTGCTTCCAGAGCAGGACATGAGGGTTTCATAATAGCCCAGGCTCACAGCCATGAACCCGAACTGGGTGCAGTTTTGCAGCAGGTTCATGAGCCTGTTGGCCTTCTCCTCTGTACCCATGTCCAGGCACAGGAGCCCACCAAACCCATAGTCTTTGTTTGCCATGGACTTGAGCAGCTCATGCTGTGGGTGGTCATCAAGCCCTGGGTAAATTACTTTTAGGCCCATCTTCTTCATCCTTGTTGCATATACCATGGCCCTGTTGCAGTGCTCCTTCATCCTCAGGCCCAGATGGGGGATTCTCTCAGCCAGCTCAAATGCCACCTTGGCATTCATTGTGGGCCCAAGTAGCATCAGGGACCCTTGGTGCAGATCCATCATGGAGTTCACCAGGCTTGCTGGCCCACACACCACACCTGTGTACCAGTTCGATGCGATAAAAATTTAGTAATTTGTTGCAAATAATAATAAATAGCCCCTGTGTATGTGCTAATTGGTCTTTTTTTTTCTTTTTCTTTTTTAAAATTAAGAAAAAATAACATAGGTAGTTATGTTCCATTAAATTGATAGCTACCTTAATTCTTAATTGAAAACTGACAATATAATCCTAATGCTTTTTAATTTTTCGTTCAATTTTGTTTATTTTTGTAAAAACATATCAGATGGAATCTTGCAGTCCAT